ATGGACCATCGTGTGAACTGTGAAGTGTTGTGGTCGAGAGACAGAAGAAATCTATTGCAGTCGTTTATTGCTACTGTCTTTATTTTCTTTTCTTTACAACTACAATATCAATGATTGCAGTTCATTTACATCTGTGCATAATGAATTGGCTTTCATCTTTACTTCATAATAAATGTTGCTATTATTCAACCAAAAATCCTCTGGATGTCAACAAGTATTTTATAGGCAAAAGTGAATAATAATGTGACACACAGTATATATAAAAGAACCTGCCTGGGAGACAAGCTTACTAATGACTGCTGTTGTATAGATGGCATAGGTCAGTTACTTTTAGATTTGTATTGCACAAGGCTGGATTAGTGAGGTGTATATTACAGAGGATTAAGTGCACTATAATAATAAACTAGTCCGTGAAACAAGCCTCTTCTATTTCAACCTTAGTTTCATATATATATATATATATATATATATATCCTTCATGAGTCCAATTTTATTGACAATACCTAATGATACATTTGGACAATCAAATGTAGTTTTCTTGTTATTGATTATAAATGAATACGGTAAAGATTAATATGTATTTATGCAGGTGAAATTGAAAAAGATTGGTTAATTATTATTATTATTATTATTATTATTATCACCACCAGCATGACCACCACTTTGTTTTTAGGTTAGAGATAGTTATTTTTATAAACATGAAGTTGTTCTTGGAAATTAACTTTCAAATGGCTGAATTGTTTATTAATGTCTGGATATATTTTCCAATTTTCTCCCTGTGGTTACATTATTTGATTAAAATGTCCCTCATTATAAATCAATATTTATTGTTCTTTAGAATAAACAGGTGAACTTGGTTCCTCTTTACATCAACGTTAATCATTTGGCAGAAACATTTTTGACTTTTTTTTGATCCTGCTTTTAAAACTTTCTCAGGAAATATTCTACAGTAATTTGATGAATTACTAATATTTACTCACTTTAACATAGTATGGCATAAGGTCACATGTGTAGAGCACCTAGGCAGAATAATATTCAGTGCACTCATCATACACTTTGTACTAGCCTTTTTATTGTATGGCTCAAGTCTAAAAATATTGAAGATTAAATACAAGATAACAGTAAAGAACTTCCAGACTAAATCATTATCCTATAGCAAGATAACCCAAAATATTTACTCAGCTTGGTTTAGTCTGGTACAAGGTCACAATAGTGAGACTTTTAGTGAGGAGTGTATTCACTACAGTAGTAATACATTTTTGAGATTAACTCAGAAACTGTTGCTCAATAGTAATGTGCTCTATTTAATAATCTTAGTTTAGTCTGGCACAAGGTCATAAGTATAGAGCAATCAATGAAGATCACAACTGATGTATTATTTATCAACATGATTTTACAATTTGTTTCTCCTTTTTGGTTAATTTATATAATTTTTTTAGGCTGCCAAAATAAATTTTGGAAATTTGGAATAAAGCAATGACTCCAAGTATGACTGAGATGTAAAACATAACCATACAGTTCACTTTTGGAGTTTAAAATGCAAGATCAAGTCTTGTACAAATATCTAAATATCTTTGTTTCAAATTCCTGTAATTTAATTTGATGGTTGAAAAATGGATCAACTGAAAAAAAACACAAGCATAAAATAAAAATGTGTGTTTGAAAATGTTGTGGCCTTGTTAGGGCCAGAAATAAAGACACAAAGAGAGAAAATGAGTTAAACAAATATACTAACAGAAACAGTAATACAAACATATACAAATGAGAGTGTTACAACAAGAATGTTTGGTCCAACTGTCGAAGCTGACTGCTGGAATCTTTCCTCTCCAAAAGGCAGTACCTGCTCCTATTTATAGCTGGGAGTGTCCATGCATGTATGGGTAAATTACCATAACAGAAACTTTTGTTAGATTGGCTAAACTTTTTAAAAGATAATTCTAATCCATGAAACAACTGAGATATTCTATTTTTATAATCTGTGGCCTTATACAAAGTGAATAAAGCATAGTATTATAGAGTAGCATTTCTCAACCCATGCACTCAAGTGCAAAAATGCACCCTGACAGGTAGCCAGGTGCATCCTAAGTTAGTAGAAGAGTAATTTATGAATTATTTTTTATATTTAAATAATCTTTGTTTTTAAAAAGCAGGAGACAACAAGCACATGGCTTCCATGTCTAAGTCAAGATTTTCTTATTTGATGTTTTAAACTAAATGCTAAATTCCTTAATCTTTAAGATGTAGTGGATAATCCTTTCTCCTTTGCCTTCCTCAATGGATCTAAATCAGCCATTATTGGCCTCTCTATGAAAATAGCAAATTCATCATAAATCCCTTTAAATGGTAACTATACTGTTAATCTTTGGGAATGCCGAACAAGAATTTCATATTATCAAATTTCATGACTAATTTTTACTTATTTAAATTTAAAGTGTGCTCCAGAGTTTTAGTTATTGTACAAGTGCACCTGGAAGTAAAAAAAAAGGTTGAGAAATTGTTATAGAGTATAGTTTTCAAGCTAATCTGAAAATCCATTGCTATTAAAGTGAGTTCTGTTTGCACTAAGTGCCTGATTAAACTTAATAAATACAAAGCTCTCAAGTCTTATCCCTTCTAAAGATATGATAATGATCACCAACCTTTGTAATATCAATCTCTCAACAACATCAACATTGAGAACAAAAGGATTCAAAGAGACCAGAGAAAATATTTGTATATATTGGAGATTAGCATTCCCATATTGTCGAGGCTTTACCCCTCATGACATTAGTGTATAATTGTTAAAAACAGGAAGCCTAATGGAGGAGTGAAAGGATCACTGAAAGCAAGCTTGTGTTCAATGATAAAACAGAGGCCTTGGACTGTTTTATTCTTATTTAATCAGTAACCTCTGATCTATGCCATGTGATGTTGCATATATAAGAATTTATTGCAATTTTAGCATCAGTTGATTTTAATTTTTGTTTCATTCAAACCTCAAATAAATCCATGTTGAATATATATTTATTCAAGAGATTTTTTCCAATTTCAGAAATGCTTTTTCAAGAGTTAAAAATATTAAAATTTCATCAGAATTTCAGTTATTTTTAATACAATCCTATCTATTGTTTTAAACCAAATTAATCTTAGTAACTATCTATTTTTATGTCCCAGTAAACAACTCCAAAAGATAGTAAATGCAGTTTGCGGCAAAAGAAAGCTGTTTTCTATAAATATCCTGATTATATTATGATCTGCAGAATATCTCTTTTTCCTTTAATGTTTAAATTTCTAAATTGAATTGTTCTCAGTTAATATTCATGTTTGACTACTACTCGTTCTTTCTGCCTTATTTCTCTTGTTGTTTACTGAAAATGATATAGTTATTCTTCAATTAAGTAAGCAGTGTGGGTGAAGAATAATCCTTTGCTGAGATTTGAACTCACATCCCATATCCTTAGGAACTTGCTTTACCATGACAGCACCAGTAAGGCTAACCCATGAAAGAAATATAAATTAAAAATTAATAATAGACAATGCTTCACCTGAAATATTCAAACATGACTAAATCAAATTTTTTCTAAAATATCTAAGTAAAGTCTTAAGAAACGGAATAATTTTGTTAGAAACAAAAAAAAGAGTACTAAACTTTTAAATAATATCAGTTCTATATGCTGGACAATCGCTTCACTCCTTACAGATGAAGAAGAGACTTAAAGTAACAGAAATGTGGTTCTAGGGTGCTGAGAATAGCATGGAATGAACATGTGAGCAACAACAATGTTTTAGAGAAAATAAAAAAAAAGGACACTTATATTAAACATAAGGAAGAGACAGTTGAAATTTCTAAGAAACATAATGAGGAAAGAGGGCTTGGAAAATTTGATACTCACTGGACAGAATGAAAGCAAGAAGGATACGGGAAAACAATGCATAACCTACCTAATGAGCTTGAGTAAATGAATGATGGAACAAAAGAATAAAACTTATTAAGAAGTCATATTTCTGCAAAGAGGAATTTGAACAGCCTAGCACAAATTTTTCCTGCTACTTTTTATCTGGAGGATTATTTGTGTGATTGCTGTATACATTTTTGAGGAGACAGGATAACAAGGTGTAAGGATAAGTAATTTTATTTATATTCAAATTTTCTTTATTATTGTGTAGCAGCTCATATGAGGAGATATTCCAAAGATTTACACCCAAATTTCTTAGACACATAACTGCAGGAAAAGAACACGTTTTGTCTAATTTTTCAACAAATTTTGTTTACAATGCCTGTCTTGACTCTGATTTGTTTATAAGGAATATTCGCTACCTGACGGCTGCCCAATGTGGTCAATTGCTTACAAAGAGTCATCTTCATGGGAGACATCTGGCATTTGAATCAAAGATTCTGCCAGCTCATATGAGATGTTCCAAAGCTTTCCACCTAAATTTCTTAGATACATAATTGCAGGAAAAGAATTTTTTTTTTTCTTTTATTTTTTCAACAAGACTTTATTTTGCCACACACATTGTTTCCACAGGCTGTGCTGACTATTGTTGTTCATTTTCAAGGGATCTGTTCCCTCCAATGATACTCAACAGACTAATATCTGACTATTGCATATAAAGGGCAATCCCCATAATTGACATTTTGGATCCAATCATAGATTTCCTACAGCAGAATCTCTTCCAGAATCAGAAATTCAATAAGAAGCTTTAAACTTTTGGACTATCCCTTGTATACACCTTTATTGTTTCACATGAAAAGGTAAAATATAATCTTAATGGTTAGATTCCTATTATTTCAATGGATAGTTACCACAGAGTATCAAAAGGCTTTTTTTTTTTGTAAAAATAAAATTATATTGTCAGAATTTCCTGAGGTTATAAATCTTTGATAATAAATTGGCATAATTAAAAATGTTTATGCTTTAATTTTTGATTTAGAAAAATTAAGGTGTGCATTTGTAATTTAATCTCAGTTTTAGCTTCTGAGTGTTGACAACATTTTCTTTTCAACTTTTTTCTTTTAGGGTGAACTCAAAAACACAATGTGTGGATTTGATACTACGAACAAAGAGGTAAGCAGTTATAAATTAATTTTAAAAATCTTAAAATTCATGACATGTAGTTTCTGGTTACTATGCTTTTACACAACTAACATTTGACATGCACTTTTTAAAAGTTAAATTGTTAGTTATATGTATATCTTGATACTAAAGTGTATAGTAAGTATACTATCGTAAAACATACCTGTAGTATGAAAATTCATTAGAAATGCTTAAGTTTTGCACATTTTCTCATGAGCTGCACAAAATGTCTATTATTTATATTTTATTTCTATATAATATTTTATTTAACTATCACTGTTTCTCAATTGTCAGAAATATTGAGTTTGTTTATAGAGAAAAAATAAACATAAGTGGTGAAAATAGTGATTAGGTCAGTGGACATTGCTCAGAAAAGCTGAAAAGTTGCTTATATATACTCAATTGAAATGCAGTTGGTGCTAAAATACAATCATGATTATTTTTTCTTTTTCATTTTAACCATTCTACCAAAATTTGTAGTGGCACTATATGAGAAATTCTACCCAGTATATCAAGGGTTGCAAAGATAGCTTTTATTCAAATTATCTGCAATACAATTCTATAGTAAATTTATATACACTGCATTTTTATAGCACATTTGCTGTGACTATATATGTAATAATTAAAGTTTTAACATTTGTTTAATATCCTAATTTATCTAAACAGTTACATTATTTTTTATTTTTATTATATACGTATGTGTTTTCATTACAATAATATTTCTCTACTGACTAAAAAATGTTGAATATTTCGATTAAATAGTAAATGAATTACTAGTTTTGTAAAAATAAAAGTCACTTATTCATTCAAGAAACTAAAATTATGATCCATTTAAAATTCTGCCCATATCTACTTTGCACTATAAACAGTGTCAAATTTGGTGTCATGCTGCAGAATAGCCTTGCAGACAATTAATACTGTAGTGAGTTTGATTTTCACTGAGTGCCCTATACTAGTGATTTTGTGTTATATTAAACTCAAGTTAGAAGTATTTACATTATTTGGACTGTTGTCCTCAATTTTATTGCCATAATCATGATGTTTCAGCCATTTTAAACTCCATCCTTCTAAAGGTGATTGGAATTTCAAACTGAACCCTTTATTTCGTCCAACAGTTGAAACGTTGTTAATATGGCAATAAAGATGAGGACAACAGTCCAAACAATGTATATAATGTAAATAATTACAATACCTTATCTCAGAAAAATAGATATTAGTAAGAAATGTATTAGTAAAGCACAATTGTTAGTCTTGCAGATTAATTTACTAGTGCAGTCAATTGGATTTTTCTTAGATGGCCATTTACTGTGACCATGTGTCAAATTATTTTAAATTTATTAAATAACTAATAATTTTTGCTATGGATGTGTGCTTTGTAAGTTCTGATTCTAGTAAGTTTAAGTAACACTAACTGACTCATATTTTTAGTCTTGTGCTAAATTAGTCAAATATGTACCAAATCAGTAAACCAAATATCAATTATTCTTCGTAGGTGTAGTAAAAATATTCATTCTGTAAGACTCTACTTCACTTTACAAACAATACCAGCATGTACATCTCACTGAAGAACTGCAGTTGACAAGTTAGTCTCATAAACTACATGTAATATTAATGACTAGCAGCATGGCCCGGCGTTGCCCGTGCTTGATTCAAAATCGTACGATTCATACAGCAATCGCTATCACATGACTTAAAATATTTTTGCCCTTCCTTGCCTTTAAAGGAGTGCCCTTTGACGTGCTGATGTTGCTACATGTCTTACTTCTTGCCTATCTCACACTGCAAATTTTTTCTAAGCTCTATACTAAACATTAAATCTGTTACGAAAAAAGAACTAAACAAAATGAACACAAAACGATCAGCTTTAAAAAAGGACTCGTAACTGGAAAAACCGAATGAAAAAAGAATGTTAACAACAAATAATTTTTCACACCCAACCCATTTCTGCAGAATCAGAATCAACGTTGAGTTTAAGCAAGCGAATGAGCCAATTGGAGTAAAGTGCCATGCAGATTTAAATTTTTCCCACTTGTGATGAATGCAGCTATCAATTTTTTTTGCATGCTAGTTAACATTTGTGTCAGTCAGCTGTTGGCTCTCACGCTGACCAATAGAATCTTCCTGCCTATTCGTGACAGCCAGCTATTGGCTCTCACACTGGCCAGTAGAAAATGGCTGCATGAAAAAATCGATTATTTCCACTAGCAATGGGAGTTAGGAAATGCAAAGTTGGTCTTGGTCTTCCCACTAACTTGGAGCATGTGCATGTAAACTTTGGTGCAAATCTGTCGAAAATTGCGGCCGTGCATTCGTTACACACACACACATACATCCTGCCTTTTATAGATAGAGAAAATTAATAACCATTGCAAAGTAAGGTTATTGGCCTGTGGATGTCAGTTATCAGTTATCTTCTGTTAATTCTGTTTATCCACTGTGTCATGTGTCCTTAAGGACACATGACACAGTGGTTTTGGTTAGATCCAGTGACAGGACACAAAAAGTTGTGAGTTCAATAACTAGTTAAGGCAGTGGAGAACTTAGAGAGGTGAATTAACAATAGATAACTGACATCCATTAGACATGGTATGTGGAACTAAAACAGTCTACCCCAGTGAGCGAAATAAAGGATTCAGTTCGACATTCCAACCACCTGAAGAAGGCCGGAGCATACAACGACCAAAACATTGTGAAAAATGTGGCAACAAAGATGAGGACAATAGTTTGAATAATGTAAATAGTGTACATTATGCCTCATCTCAGAAATATAGATATATACTGGAATTAGTTTAACAAGTTTATTACCTTTTGGTATAGGGAAACATAATGTAGAATAGAAACTAGGGAAGAGAATATTTAGCTGTGAATGACTAATTGTTTTCAGCAAAAGTTACTACTCCTCCTGCTACTCATCCTGCTACACATCTTGATGTAGGTGTATTTTTATGTCTTTCATCTGACAGCCAAGTCCAAACTTGTAAGGAAATATTCTCCTTCACAGCAGGTATGGAAGACATAACTTTTTGTTCTTCCAAAGTTTTGGTTTAGTATCATAGACTTGCTCCTTTAACCAACCCCAAAGAAAAAATTCACAGGGTTTTAAGAGTCAGAACTCCTGTCTGGCCACTCATGCATCAAATAGGTACCTACTTTTCAATCACCCTATATATTATACTGGACTTTAAATATTGCCACCATTTTGTGAAGTTCAACACTTGATCACTAACAAGCACATCCTGGCTCAAGGCTAATCTTGCCCCAGATTGTCTTCATTATTCAAGTCAGATTTATACTTGGTGAAGGCCATTTCTTTAATTTTGCCATTCTTACTACAAATCCTCATGTTGACTCTGGATTCCATCTCTTTCTCTCTCATATTGTCTCCAACTTAGTCCTTGAAATTTTAAATTGAATGTCAAACAATATTGATTTCCAATAAAGTTTTTTTCACCCATCACCCTCTTTACACCAACCACAAAGAAAAAGCTTCCAGATCCCACACAGTACAATAATATTGAAATACTGAAAAATCTTTAGCAGTCTGCTGTTTTGAGAGACAAATATTTACTGGCAATCCATTATAGCCAAACCTAGCGTGTTAACTATAAAAATATAAAATAAAAATTTTTCTCTATAAAGTTCATTAAACATTTCCATAGAAAAGAAATATTTGTCTTTGTTTTAAAGGATATTTTTTAAAATTGCTATAATTTTAAAAAATTTCAGTTTAAAAATATTATTTTGTAGAAAGTATGGCCGACAAAATCTGCTGAAATCACTTAACCAAATATTTCTTGTGATAAACTAAAAACAATGTAAATGTTAGAAAGATGTCATTATAATATTTTTTATTATTTTATCTCAAGATATCTGGCTACTTTTTGTTGTTGATCTGCATTTTTAAAAAAGAAATTAAGGAAAAGCTTTCAGTTTTCCTTTTTTCTTTCATTTTTGGTTGGAATGAATTCACATATTTTGATAGCAGTGAACATTACGTGTGTATCACTGATTCATCTTTTTGATTATTATTGACAAGTTGATCTTGTCTGCTGAATACACTAGCCATCAGTTACCTGTGAGGATAATATGATTATGGACAGCAAACACTGCAGCTGCCACATCATATGGTTTTAATCAGATTCCTTTGACTTGATATGACAGTTAACAAAAAATGTTAATAATATTAAGTAAAATCTAGTACAGCAGTAACTTACACAAAGTATACACATCTCATCTCTCTCTCTCTCTCTCTCTCTCTCTCTCTCTCTCTCTCTCTATATATATATATATATATATATATATATATATATATATATATATATATATATATGTGTGTGTGTGTACACACATGCCTGGTCAAAATCTTAAAAACAGATACAAAGGGTTAAAAAAAAATAAAATACCGTTACATTAATCAAAATATATTTGTGAAACATTTACATTTAATTAAAAAATGTAGTTTATCAACAAACAAGTGAAAATTTTAAGCTTTTAACTTATTAATTTAAACAAACATTGAAAAAAGGATTTTTTTTGTTGGTCATAAAGATTAGACAATGTGTGAAAATGTACTGGACAAAGATTTTAGAACAAGACAGTGTGCTGATAGCTTCAGGCATGTAGACATATATGTAGCTTATTTCCAGTAATAAATTTCAGATTTTAAAATGGCTAAGGGTAAAATTTTTAACAAAGTTCGAACAGGGCAGGATTGTTGAACTTCGAAAATGTGGTCATTCACAATGAGCCATTGCAAATAAAATTGGCCGTAGCAGAACTGTCATTGCTAACTTCATTAAAAATCCGAATGCATATGCTTCTAAAAAATCAAACGGTGACCCCAATAAAATCTCACCATCTCTAGACAGATGTATTAGTTGATAAGTTAAGAGAGATTCAAGCCTAACATCAAATCACATAAAAACGAATACAGATGCTGAATGCAGCTCTCGAACAATTCAATGGCATTTAAGTAAGAAAGTGTTTAAGAA